GCTATCGATCAACGCGACCGCGCTTCTCTTGTCTTCGTACGTAGGTACGCGGTGGACAATACGGTGGATGCATCGGGACGCGTCACCACCGAGCTGCGGATCGTGCAGGCGAGCCACATGGACCGCGGCGACTACGTCTGCGTCGCCGCGAACGCTTACGGTCACGCCAAGGCGACGATCCATCTGCTCGTGCAGGAGCCGCCCGATTTCCCTCGCAATCTGCATGTAGCGGAGCAGGGCAGCCGTTCGATCCTGCTGGCCTGGTCGTCGCCGGCGAGCGATCGGGATGCGAGCCACGCCAGCTCGCCCATCACCAACTACATCGTGCAGTACAAGGAGGCGCAAGGTACGTTCCCTTTTCTCATCTCCGTTTCCCTTTCTCGGCATGGTACGTGCGCGGCGAGCGGTTTCTCCGTTCGCAAGTGCTCGACTCGAGACAGTCCGTTAGTCCGTTTGTCCGTTCGTTCGACGCGGATGAGCCCTTTTTCGGGCAACGTGCACGTAGCAAACGCACGTCGACACGCGCGCGTTCACTGTCACGTCGATCGTACTCCCCTCCTCCCCTCCCCCTCTCCATCGTACCAGTCGCCATCTCGGAGTAAAATTCATTTCCGTGTTACATCCGCGCCGGGATATTCACGTTCTGCTGGTTGCTGCGCGCGCGACGGCGACGGGCGGGTTCGACGTAACGCTAAAGTATGAATAATCGGAACAAAAATAGCGGAGATAGCTGCAAGTTCTGCATTTTTAAGAGCGCCTGAAATCCTAGATATCGATTTTCTCGAATCGCCGACGCGGCGACTTTGTGACGATATTCTTCCGCGAGACTGGGAGAAGCTGAACGATATCTGCATTTTTCTCGGGAATCATAGCGTTCGCGTGTGCATAATAACCGCCTTGCTAGGTAATTCGCATTATCGCCGCGTTTATGTAGCAAGAATTATATATAATTCTCGCTATATATATATTTTCCATTTATTTCATTTTCATATATATATATATATATATATGAAAATGAAATAAATGGAAATATATATATATATGAAAATAAAATAAATGGAAAATATAAAATCATCTCCACGCGAGTTCCACATTTTCGAGGAAACGCGGGAGACCCATTCCGGCACGGATGATGTGGCAGTGAACGCGTTATAACGCGCAGTGGAAAAAAAAGAGAGAGATACACATCTCTCTCTCTCTCTCTCTCTCTCTTCCGTTTCGGTTTTTCAAATTTAAAATTTCTCCATACGTTTCGATTTACTTCGATTGACGGCCTCGAAATGAGGATGCGCGCAAATACAGAAATTAAAAAAAAACGCGTGTGTATAACATTCTATTTACCGTACGGCATCCCAACCGCTGTAACGGTGTAAATATCGCGTTATAAGCGGACGGTATCGACGATGAAGTAATGTCTGATGATTTTTTCCTTTTTTTTTCGGTTTTATATTTTTCCTCGCGCTCGCCCGAACGATAATCGAGAGACGGAAAGGAGATGTCGTTGTTACAATATATATACACGGTATACTGCGCCCCCATTTTGCATTTACGATCCATCGTCATTATGTGTGTGCATATATATATATATATATGCGTATTCACAGCGCGCTTTGCGGCATTTTCTGTCATCTGCGGGATATCACATCGGACGTTAGAGTTAACACTACGATGTCTTCCCCCGCGAGCATCATCCGGGGGGGCATAACACCCGTGGCTTTTATCAGGGGGATATCATTAATCATTTATCCTTCGACGTTGGCCCCATGTCCCGCTGTTCGTTTAGAGTTTATTTTGGATTTATTTCGTGCGGCTTTTACCCTCGCCGGCTCTCGCCTTCCCATTGGGCGAGTCGCTCATCTGGCGTCAGCCGGCGTTTAAACGAACGAATGTCGAAACGTTCCAAATCCAATTAGCGCGAATAGCATAATATATAATGTATCTCATTAACGAGTAATCATTTTATCGTAGAATATGAACACGTCTCTACATCTCTCTCTCTCTTTTGAACGGGCGGCTCGTCTGACAGAATATTTGATATCTCGGTGCTTGATACGGCCGGTGTAATAATTTCCGAAGGAAGCACACCAAGAAGAGAGAGAAAGAGAGGGAGAGAGAGAGAGAGGACGTGCATTTAAAAAATCCGCTTTTTTAGCGCGGCAATGCTGCAAAGTCGATGGGAAGCAGTTTATACCGCTGGCGTAAATATCGACACAAATTATCCGGCGCATCGCGCGCGTCCATGTGCGTTCTCCAGGAGTGGCTAATTAACCGAGAGATACCGATAAATCGACGCGCGTAAAATGCAACGTGTGTAAAATGCAACGTATCAAATTCCAATAATGCGCGCAACACACGCCGAAGATACCGAAAAATGCCAGTCGCTGCCCCCGGGGAACGGGGGGGGGGAGATATTATTCGCGAAGGGAGGATAAATCGGATTAATTCGCATGACTGTTACGTGTCGGAAGATGCGCGCGCGTTACAACGGCGTGTATCGCTCGCGGGATAAAAAGTGTGCTTTGCATTTTGCTAAATACGTTTCATCGTAACGTTTCCGAGTAACCGTAGCGAATACAGGTTGGAATATTTTCCTTCGTGATGCGCCATTCTGCAGCGAAGATGCACGCGCGTAATGTAACGCGGCGGCGCGGTCCTGTCGCATGAGCTGCGACTGTCAAGAGCAACGGCTAATTACATCGCCGCGTCCCCTCGTAAACTCGCCGCGCGCCCGCCCGCTGTGCACCAGAGAGTTGATTTCGCATATAACAATGTCGCGAATTTATTTCGCGATTCGTACTAACGTGCGCAACGTGCGCGCGCGCGTGCGCTACGGCCGCGGAAGCAATTTCACCTCTTTGATGTTCTTCCACGTGTCTGCGCGAAAGCGGGCGATTTACATTTCCCGCTGATTAATCGCATTTGCGAAGAGAAGTAGGGGGGGGGGGGGAGAGTGTTGTCCCGCGTCACTTTTACGTTAAGATCGCGATCTTCCGCGCGAGATCTCGGTTTGTTGCCGAGGCTCGTTATGTTAACGTCGTATAATCGCCGTTTATGCGTTGTTTACACACGTTTATTGGATTCGTATTTGCCGTGTTCCCCTCCTGTAAACAATTGCGCGTGTTACTTCCTCTCTTAAGTCGTGTCAGTGAACGTGATTGAATCATTGAAACTGTATTCTGTAGTCACTGGTCGAATCATTGAAACGGTAATCTACCGATAATCAGTGAGTATTCGTTAACTTTTATGTGGAAACTCTTCCACTTGATTCTCTCGTCTGATACTTCACTGATTTTGGCCAGTGAAAGATTCACTGCAAATCGCTGTTACGCATCCCGTAGCAGAAATATGCGCACATATCGTATATGTATTGAATCATGTGTCATATTTGGCGTAATTGGTACGGTGGCGGACTCAAGAGCTAAAGGAAAGCTGAGAGCTTTCGAGTTCCAAGTCCCTTCAGAATAATCGTGTATTTTCAAATACGACGCAAATTAAATCAATTAGATATAATTAAGAATCAGGCAAAATCCACTGACAATACTTAAGAGTGAGATTAATATAATAAAAAGGAAGTGATGAGTAACCTTTTTAGACCGGAGTTAGATTTTCCCGATGGGGACAGTCGTTGCTGTTGACTGACTTTCGCGGCGAGATTTTATTGATTTACAGTGCTGTACTCATAATTACGATCACTAGTGACTATTGACTGTTCTCAGTGATGATACCACTGATTGTACTTCAGAGAGTCTCCCTTTCTCGCGTTTCTCCCGCATTTCCGACCCGTTCCGGAGGCGCTCCGTCCGAACGCAGACGCCCAAATTATAAGCTCCGGATTGTAGTTAAAACGATCGTGTCGACTCGTATTTCGCCGAGATACAAGGGAAATTTTCCCAAGCATCAATATATACCCGGGCGTCTCGGCAGGTTGGCGGTTTTCATTACGACAGTTAACGCCGAGTTTTCCGTAAAGTCGTTTACGAATCTTCTAAACTCCCTCTCCCTCCCTCCATTCCCTTCCTCCATCTATCTCTACCTCTCTCCTTCGGCTTTGTGTTACACCCCCGACTACCGACCATCCCCCTCTCACTCTATTTTCATGCCGCAAACTTCTCTTTGAAACGCCCCTTGCCCTGGCCGCTCGTTAACTTTGGATGTCCTCATTTACGCCTAATCGACTCGAGTCTCTCCCCGCTGTTAAATTATCGAACTTAACGCACGAGGAGGCATGGAAGCGTCGTGGTGTTAACGCGCATAAAACATGTTCTTGAGGCAAGCACCGTCGAGAATTATTATCGCTCTTACCGAAATCGAGTCTCGCGAGGATCGAGATTTCCGTACGGCGGTACGATCAGGCGCGCACAAATCCGTGTCTCGCATTTATCCGTGTGATTACTCGCCGTGCGTTATATCGGCGCGCGTCGGGCGCGCCCGAATCATTTTAACGTCTATAAACTTGTATTAGCCCTTCGAAGTTGTGCTTCTCTCTCTCTCTCTCTCTCTCGCGCGCGCGCTCTCTTTCCTATACGAGGCGCGGATTAAAAGCGGAAGGATAATCTGCGCGTGAAACCGCGTTTGCACTGCAACTGATAGTTTCGAATTAATTTTCCGACTGCGAGCACGTTGGCACGCGCGCGCGGTACACACACACACACACTACCGTCTACGTTTAATATTTAATGCCATTTAATGCTTAACGCGCGCGTATACGCGTTTGACTCTCGCGGAGGGCCGTCGGCTATCACTCCCCATTAAAGTGTCCGTTCGCTTGATCGATTCGCTCGCTCGTCACGTAGACGAGAAGGAGGGAAACGCATCGATCCCCGGGTCGCCGCCGTTCCTTGATGAATCCGAGGACGCAGTGTGTTTGCCGCCGAGTACGTATTATCTCCAGCGGGCACACTCTCGCATACACACACGCACACACACGCGCGCGCGCGGATGCACGGACAACTAACGAGAGATACGTTTATCCCGGCGTGTCGGTGATACGTGGTGTGGGATCGCGACCTCTCGCACGCGAGAGAACATTAAAACGCGCGCGCGGTATCCCGGCCGGCCGATACAGACGGTCCTCGCCTCGCGAGACTCGCGAATAACACGCTTAAGCGATCGTACCTGCATCCTTCTAAGCGTTGTCGCCTTCTGCCTGGAAAGACGTGTGGCATGAGCACAACACGCAGAAGCTGGTAGCCGGAGACAACACGGTCGCTCTGGTATCGCCCCTAAAACCCGCGACTACCTACCACTTTCGAGTGCTTGCGGAAAATCATCTTGGAACATCAGCGCCAAGCGACATCCTTCATGTCAGTATCAAACATTGTCCGAAAAAATCCACGACAGAAAATATGTACATACGTGCAAAACTGATACACATAACACACGCACACGTACCTTGTATGCGCGCATATGCGCACATATGCACGCACGCACACACACAGACAGACACATGCACGTATACATACGTACATACATACGTACGTACATACATACACAGGCACGAAGCATGATCGAAAAAGAGAGAGAAAAAAAGATTCATTTTATCACACGAGCCATTCGCGTATAATAACGCCAGGCGGATTGTCCTCCTTTCACCGTGTACCGGGGCGTCTCTCGGAATTTTCGAAACAGGTGCAAACGGAGGGCGAAGTGCCCGGAGGACCGCCTAGGCACGTCTCCGTGGAACCCCTGGGTCCGCAGCAGCTCAAGATCACGTGGCAACCGCCGGATCGATCCCTGTGGAACGGCGAACTACTCGGATACACCATCGGCTACACCAATCTCGGGTATCGTTATCTGCTTACCGCTCACGAGCCGCGCAGTTTGCAGCATTTAGCGTCCATCATCGAGCGTCGAGCGAAGTTCTCGCTCTCGCACACGATGACGCTCGCGCGATCGGATTCGCTAAAACAGCGCGCGTCTCGGCCGAATTCGGAGCGGGCCATTTCGCGGAGGCATGCGACAAATTAGTATTGATCTTGGGGGGAAATTAATGAGACGGGATTATATTCAAGTTACGCTTTCGTAAAACAGTGAGAGGTGCATGCAGGTGGGGCTCTGTGCGACTATGCCTCGCCGTACGTCGCTCCCTTCTCGAACTACGACGCAGTGTTCGATGAGAATTTTCTTTTGACGGCGTACACGGAGAAAAATCATTTTGTCGTTGCAGCGGTACTACTAGAGTTGCTACTGCATACTCGTCGCGACAGAAGTAAGATTTATTTGGCGCAACTAAATTAATGAATTATTCGATTAGTGCCGAAACAGTTTTGTTACGAGGATAGCAAATATTTTGCCGGGTGAACTTAGGAATTAGGAACTTAGGACACGTTAATTTGCTTAATTAGTACAAAATGTTTTCCAACGCTGATTAATTTGTTCTCACACCGAAATAAATTAGATTCAGCAGAATAATCCAGCAAATAGCAATTAGTTAATTACTCTCAACAGATTGTTTTGCTGTTCACGTAGTAACTGACATATTTTTCTGCGACAGCATAAAATTTGTTATGCTGGTAATTTTATTTTCCTCCGTGCATAATTCAGTTTCGTTTGATAGAATTTGAAAGGGATTAAAGCGAATTAAGAACAGTATCTTTCGAGATAATAATTTCTTGATGTTTGGATGTGAGAAGTATTAATTTATTACAGGGTGATTATTTTATCTCGCGGATAGTCGATAGGTATTACATCCCGTAACAAAAGATGTATAATTTATTTAAGTATCAAAGGTTAATTTATGTTTGTAAAATATATATGCCCAAGAGAGCGAACATGATTCGTTGATATCGTGCATTAAAGCAAAATCGAGCAATGAAGCGAGCAGTGTGACGAGGGTATGTTATTAAATCAGGCATCAATGCGAAATTTACATGTAATAATATCGATTTATCAATTAAGTGCACGCTAATAGTTACATTTTATGTTTCCGAGATACATCTCATATTCCGGAGTAATTGATTCGTGTCTTAACCGACATTTCGACAGAACGCAAATTTTCGGACGAGTATCGCGAATTCTTCGAATGCCTTTTGTCCGAGCTTCGTAGTTATATTTCATTGAATTTCGAGACTGTTACCTCCTTCATTATACCGGAATCGGACGACGGAACGTAGTAAATGCGAACGGCAAAGGCGATTTCCGGTAAACTTTGGCGACGCGACTTTTGTGCCAAGGATTTGCTCGTTCTCAGACGGTGCACCAACTTTTGAGTAATAGGATGTATAAGAAGAGCCGGTTGGCGGGCCGTGGTACATTTTAATACATCCTGTCCGTTTCGTACCTTTTTTCTCTCTTCTTCTTTATTACTTCGTTAACTTCGCGACGAAAAGGTGTCCGTTAACCCGACGACGACACCGTTTCGCGACTTGACTTGAAATTCGAAAGCCGCGATTTTTCGTCATCCCCCGACGTTTTTGCGGGGAGAGGGAATCACTTTGAAACCGGCACATTCATCGCTCGTAGACGTGACGTACGGTTTTAGCGCCGTCGAATGTCTTCGCGCGTTATCTCCTCGCTTCAATGGACCGCAATGCGCGGCCGCTTTATTTCAGAGGAGATGATCAATCGATGAACACGACGCGGGTAGGAATCACAGGAAACGGGGACGGCTCGCACGATTACAGGCTAACCGGTCTGCGAAAATATACTCAATATAACATAGTGGTGAAAGCGTTCAATAGCAAGGGAGACGGCCCGGGATCCGAGCCGGTGAGGGCGCACACTTTCGAGGACGGTAAGTGAAAAGTCTCTTTATAAGCTCGCCTGTTCATCAGCTACGCGGGATTTCGGGCTAATGAAAATGTTTACCGCGTTTAAATAAAGCAATCGCCCGGGCGCTTTGAGCTTAGACCTCTTTGCATTTTGATCACGGGCTAAATGTAATCGAGAATTGCAAATGATGAGGGAGAGATCAAGTTTCAAATTACAAATTAATGTTATAATTTAAAGTTTGTCATACAGCACGTAGTTTGTCCGTAAACGTACCGAGCGTTCTATAATGTATCGTTCAAACAAGGGTAGCAATTCGCGTAACAATATCGATTTGCCGAACGAGCTTTTACGGGCCTCATATTACCGGGGACCGTTGTGCAACAATTATGATTATTTTGCCGGATTTAATAATATCCCGGCTGAATTTTTCGCCCTATTACGGTCACGCGGGTGAATTTCCGGGCGAGGTCTCGGTGTCAAATCGCGCCGATGAACACCCGCGCATCCATCACTTCGCCGAATGTGCTTCGCGACATTCGCGGCGTACGCGTTGTGTCTAAAACCGGGTATATACTGAGCGAGTATAATTTTTCGTTGTTACAATTTGGAAAATGTGTACACCATAACGAACAGATCGTTTCGGGCCGATTTACTTATAATCCCAGAAATGCAATCTAGTCGGCCTGACTCAAAAACTACCCTATAAGCGCAGAATATTATTTAATATTAAATAATATTTCTAGAACATTAATAGGTGGTTATATGTCCACCCCTAATAATATTAAAAAAATAATATTATTTAATGTTATTGTAATATTATATATTTTTTTAAATATTCAACTCTATATATATATATATATATATATATATATATATATAATTACTGATATTAAGGACTAATATGGAGACATTATACAAAAATTTTAGGATTATTCAACATTTTAGTTTGGATTTGAAAATATAGCCATAGGAAATTTATAATTTATAATAATACCCGCGACACACGTACATATTTAAATATTTATATACCACTTTCTATTATATATGCACCTCTATTAGCTTAACTGATATATAAATAATATATTAATGAGACAAATAAAAAATAAACAATATCTCTGTGTTTGTAATGTTATGTGCATAGAGTTTGTCTAATTAGACCGTGACCGGCATAACTTGTAAGGTATTTATTATAAAAAATAAAATATATTACATATATAATACTCAATCAATACTGTAACATTTTTATATTAATAAGTCGTCCAATCACCGTCGTTGTCAATTATTGTTTGATATCTTCGAAGCATATTTTCTATCAATGTTGCAGCATATTTTCGAGATAAAAATCGTCGTATCGAACGAATCTATCGAGACAGTTGTTTCACTTTGTGCACTCGTGTGCATTATTTTTCCACGTAGTTTCATTAATTCCCAGAAATTTTCAATAAAATTTGTATCTGATGACTGTGATGGCCAGTCCAATGTTTCGATGTTACTTTCTTCTTTGCCATTGGCAACAAAGACGACTCTGTTTTGGATCATTGTCCTTTTGAACAATCCAGTCTTGACTTTTGCTTCAAAATTATTTTTTTAGCAGATGGTTTAATATTTTCTGTATTCAGTATTAATATTTTCTGATAAGTTTTAACCATCTTTTGATATGTTTTGATATGCAAATTATCTGTGAATAGAGATAAAGTTCCAAATCCTTAGTTTGAAGAATAACGCTAGATGTGCATTTTTATCAGGTGTTTTGCGGTTCGAGAAATTTGCTCATGAAAATAGACCAAATTTAACTGATAGTGTTTCGTGTCCAAAAAGAGGATTCATTGGAAAAAAGAGTAACATTCTTCCAATCCCAATTAATGTTTTCATACACCAAACGATTCTTTTTGCGACATGTTCTTCCGAGAGAAGCGGTTTCTTCATTGTTTTTTCATTGTTGCTTCGGTATTTGAGGTTAAAAACTCGTCGATGAGTTTTAAACAATATTCTAAAGTAATAAAATAATATCTTATTTTTCAATTTAGCTTATCTCTGTAATGCTGCGATAATTGAGAATTCATATAAAATAAAAGTATAACCTATTTATCTTTTTCTCTCCGATGTTTTGTCTTATCGAGGTTTGCCAGATCATCAGCAGTGTTTGTTATTTCATACCGTTTTATCCACTTACTCACTAACGCTTTTGACTTTTTTATGTATTTTGCAGCTGCTTCCGGCGACATTTTCGGCCCTTTTGGGTGTGTGTAAAGGAAAGCAGCTTTGAATCTTCCGACGTTTGCATCGTTAAGCACGTTGTTTTCTAGCAAAAATCGACCAATAACTGGGACTCTCTATATAATGCGTCATAGGGAAGAGGGCGTAGAGTTCTTACTCGTTTAAAAGTTTTCGATGTAACGGTTTTCAAACAGAAGTTTGCTCGGTCACGCTCTTATTGGACAGGCTGTATTTGTCTTAATTTCGCTCAAAATTAACATTTATTACTTAGATAGTCAAAATTATAGGAAAGCATTTTTCAGTAAATAATAAACTTATGTAGGAGCTCCTTAATATCGGCATTGAAAACTCGACGCTACGAACCAAATGCTTTAAAAATGAGTTAGCAAAATAATTGATACGCTATGCGTTATTCCAAAAAAAGTCTTCAAAAAGCAGAGGTGAGCGTTACATCACTGTTTAGTAACTAATTATGATCTTTCCATCTCATGGCTGGTAATCCCCTCTGTTTCACCATCAGCTAATTTATTTATCTACTCATAATCTAACTACCGGGAAAAGCGGCGCGTTTTATCACTGGTTAATAACTAATTGCAATTTTTTCATCTCGCGTAACTGTAATTTCCCTTGTTTCACTATCAGCTAACTTATTTATCTAGTCTCAACCAAACTATCAGGAGAAGTGAGCGTTACATTACCGGTCAGTAACGACGTTAGACACGAATTTACTATCTTGCGGCTGGACACTCACCAGAGGCTCAATTTCTACCGGGGAAAGTGGCTTGTCGAACGAAAGTTCGTGCGCGTTTAGACGCGAACGCATTCGTATTAACACACACATATCCATCCGTTTGCTCGTTGTTCACTCGCTCGGTGTACACCCGCTCGGTGTTCAGCACACCAGCGTGTAAATTCGCGAAGACCCCGGCGAATTTTTCGACGGGAGCTGCGCCGCTACGTAGCGATTTACGATACGATTTGACATAGTTCCAAGTGCGCCACCGCAGAATGTGGCCTGCGCCGCGCTGACCGGCCAGAACATCCAGGTGACCTGGAAACCGCCACCTTCCGACAAAGTTCACGGGATCGTGCAGGGGTACAAGCTGCTGTACGAAGCAGCGAGCGGCGCCGCCTCGGAGTCGCAGACCGGCAGAGAGACGAAAATCAGTCATGCACTCAGCACGGTGCTGCACGCGCTCAGTCCGTACACCAATTACACGGTGCAGGTGTTGGCTTACACCAGGGCGGGCGAGGGCGTCAGCAGCAGCCCCGTGTCCTGCACCACCGAGGAGACCGGTAAGACCGTCTAATGATCGAGAATGACCGGCCGGCGATCTGTTCTCGGCCCGTCTGCTCGAGAAACGTAGGCTTTTCCAGCCGATCGATTCGTGGTTCAAAGAGCCATCAGAGAATGGAATAAATCCATCATTTATGAGTTTTCACGTCAGACATGTGACATCGTATTTAATTTGTGAGGTATCTCCGCTCGGAGCGTATATATAATTTTCAACGTTCACCTCTCACGACTGACCTCACGCGTCCGGCGTGCGAGTTCATGACCCCATGAAACAATTTTATTATATTCCCCGACTCCCTCTCTCTCTCTCTCTTTCTCCGTGTGACTGAATAAACTACGCGCTTCCGAGAGAGCTTCCACCGAGACAGGAACCGCCGTTTGCTCGCAGTTCCAGACGCGCCGGAACGTGTGAAGGCGGTGGTCAGCGGCGAGAACGCCGTCGTGATATCCTGGCTGCCGCCGCGCCGGCCGAACGGTCTGCTCACCAAGTACACCGTTTACATCCGCGTACTAGACCAAGGTCAGGAGGTGAAGATCAGCAAGAGCATCTTGCCGGCGCAGAACCTGCACCACGAGGCGAGCGGCCTGAAGCCGCACGAGTCTTACGAGGCGTGGGTCACCGCCTCGACCAAGGTCGGCCAGGGATCCAGCACGCCGGTCATCAAACTCCAGCCCAGCGCCAACGGTGAGTCGTCGCCGCCGCGGGAATGGTCGTCGGCGAGTCGTTGAAAATTCTCCCGGTCTTGCCGCGCGAAGTAAAACTTTATTGCGCTGGTCGTGTTTCGCGCGGATGTTTCGATCAAACTTTTTATACTCGCTTTCTCTCTCTCTCTCTCTCTTCCTTTCTCTCTTCATGTGTCTCTCGCCAAGTTGCGAGAGAATTGCACGAACGACGCTCGATATTAAGCGCCGCGAGTATCTCGGGACGCGGCCGGGTTTTATGTTTTCCGAGGGCGCGCGGGGCGCGGCGGAGAAAGTTTTTCCCGTTGTCGAGTAAACGCGCGAGATGAAACATTCGCGCGATTCTCCCGCGGAATGTAAGCTCGCGCGAAGCCTTTCCTATTTGTGACTTCTCGATAACGCCCGGGCGAGCGGGAAGCCGTAATCGCGAGCGAGCGAGCGAGCGTTGGGAGAACGGGGAGGTTGTAACGGTGGTCCTTTAATTAGTTCCAGCCGCTATAATATCGTTCGGGATGTCCATCGTGGTGCCGTGGCGTATGGATGTTAACATGGCTTGCCTGGTCGTCGGCGATCCCAGACCGAGCGTCGAGTGGCGACGCGCCGACATGAAGCTGCAGCAGAAGTAAGTGAGCGAACTCGTGCGTTAGTCCTTTGGCGCAAACAGGTGAGGGGGGGGGGGGGGCGCGATTCACGGNATTCACGGTGCGAGAGTGTTGCAGGTCCGACGTGGGGCCGGACAATACGCTGATTCTGAGGAACGTACAGCGGAGTCACGAGGACAACTACTCGTGCCACGCGAAGAACTCGCTCGGCACCGACGAGATAACGTACACCCTGCACATACAGGGTGGGTAAATCCCGCGCGAAACGAACGGTTCTGCCGTGACGTCTAATAGATCGGGGCTAATCGCATTGTGCGCCAACATGGGCGCGCGCGCGCGCGCCAACGTCAAGTCTCTCAATGTTGCGCGGGATTATTTCGATGATACAATTTGGCGACCCAATTCCCCGATAACCCGATTCGCGCCAGTCTGCGAAAATATATGGCGTCTTGCTCGCGGAAACACCTCTTTCTCGGCTCGTAATTATATCTCAGTGATTACCACTGCGCGCGCGGATAGTCGCAATCAACAACTAGATTTGAGCTGTCGTTAAGAATATCGCGCTTAGCACGTTGAATGCTCCGCCCGGGGGGAAAATTATTATATATGATTATATATAATTATCATATGATCATATATGTCTATGTGAAAGGAAATGATTGTTATGTTGTTTAATTGAATGCCGATATCATGTTCTATTCATGGGTCAGAAGCACAAGTAGCCAGAAGCATTTACTTCGGTTATATTTGCATATAATTTGCATCTAACTGCACTGCAAGCTCAAATGTGTGTTATTTTTGCAGGCGTAAACGCCTGTAAAATGCCACTTTTGACCGAAACGCTTTTCACACGTTGCCGTTTTACGGGTCTTGTCGTTTTAGGTTACATTATTTAAAAGTTTAATCGTGTTAAATTATAAATTCACATGTCCCATTGTGTTAAATGATGTAATTTGAAGCGGCAAGAAATGTGTCAGGAAAGATTTAGATAAATTAACACACCTAGTCCGTATTAATAATCGAATTTTATGCCAAAGATCGCTTTGAATTTATCTTCAAATGCTGTACGCTTCATTTCATTGGTTACGAAATATTTGAAGATGAAATTGTGACGATCTTGAGTATAAGATCCGACTATTAAGACGGGCCTTGAAGTTATAGTGATTTATGATGATTAACGGTATGATAAATAAATATAATACATATGTATATACATAACATTAATATTTACTATAAGTGAAATTAACATTTTAAACTACATGTTTTATTTAATGTTAAGCATAAAAAATATCTATTTCCTTGAGAAATTAATAGTTTTTTTCATTAAAAATTAAAAATGTTTTAATATCTTTTATGTTATATTTTTATATCATATCATAAAGAAATATAGAAATAAATCATTTGCTACAATATGAGAACATTTTATAATCATTTTTTATAATCCTGAATCAATATGTAACTTTATACGACTGAGATTTCGTTTCACTTTACATTTTTATCAAATGAATGTTGTTTAATATATTTCCAATCTTTTTTTAATAATTATCCTTTACGAACCTTTAAATATTTTATGCCATCCCATTTAAAATAGACAATAAAACGATGTTTTTTAAATTGATATCCTTATTCATAGGAAATACTATCATAATCAGACACTTAATGTGCTTATTTCGCTTCTTAAATATTTTTTAGATTCCCCTCATTCACTTCACAAAAAGTAACGAGTAAATCTATATCCGCAATGACCCCAAATAATAACAAATTATAGAACAGTTCACAATTTACTATATTTTGTTAACAATATCGGCTTTTTTGATTGAGGTCCAAAATGGTGATCGTTTACGTAAAAAGAGAGAAAAAAAAGATAACTACTCCCAGAGAGAGAAGAGAAAGAAAGATAACCCTTGACAAGACGCGGTAATGTCACAGCGCCGGTCACCGGTGAGCCCCGCGGCATTCAACGTGTTCTCCCCCTTGTCGAAATCGTTGCTCAGGATGCGTGCAGCCGATAGACCCGCGTGCGAGGACGAGGACAAATATCCTTGCGGTACGACTCGCTCGTTATCCCATGAATTCTTAGCCGTCCTCGGCGCGCTCGCTCGCGGAGAACGAGAAACGACGTGTCGTTGAGAGAGGCGCGGTCGAGCGCTGTTTCGCCGCGTCGAGCACACGAGAGAGAGCCAAGTTCTAATTGGTAAACTTTACGCATAGTACCGCCGACGTCGCCGACCCTGCTGGCAACCGGCACGACGACCGACGCGATTCAGCTACAATGGAAGCAGGGCGACAACGGCGGCGCGCCTATTAAAGGATTCCTCCTGGCTTATCGTCGGGAATTCGCCGAATGGGAGGAAGTCATGCTGGATCGCAGAGCGAGCACGCACCTCCTGGAAGGCTTGCAATGCGGCACGCGGTATCAGTTCACCCTCGCGGCGTTCAACCGGATCGGCAGTGGGAGCGCGAGCGACATACAGACCGCGAAGACGAACGGCTCGAAGCCGGTGCCGCCGCCGAAGCATCACTTCGTCAGGGCGAACCAGACGTTCGTTATTCTGGAACTGGCGGCGTGGCAAGACGGCGGTTGCCCGTTGACCTACTTCGTCGTCGAATATAGGAGGCTGCCCGGGGACTGGCTGCTCGGTAAGAACGTACTCACAACTCTTCCGTAAGTCGGAAGTTGCGCGAAGAAATAACGATCGATAATCATCCGCGGCAAGTATGACGTTGATCGCCTCCCGAAGTAATTTGCAAATATAATCAACCTTCCGGGGGGAAAGGGGAGGGGGGGAGGTTTTGCGAAACGTATCAACCGCGATGTACCGCTCGCACCGCCGCGGCGCGTGAGTTATTAATTTATTAATCGCGCGTACAATCTCAGATAGCGCAACATATTCTATATGGAGGAAATATGGTAACAATAAATGCGACGAAATTTTAATCAAGTTTTGGACTATATTGATATTATGATCAAGATTATTATAGTTTTACTCGAAGAGATACTAAATACTTTAGACTTTTTATTAGAAAACTGTTGTAACTACTGAAAGAGCCTGTTGCATTATACAGGGTGTCAGTTCTCGATTCCCGTGGTGTGTAAGTAAAACAGGTGAAACTGAGCAGAATAGTCATGTGCCATTTTGCAAAATTCGTACGTTCCATTTTTGATAGGAGCGATTTTACGGGTGAAGTAAAGTGTTGTACGAAATCATTTTATTATATACTTTCTACTTGTCCCCGCATGTATAATTGTTAACCTTTCCTGTTTGTATTATCTATTATATAACACTAAAATTATTAGAAAAATGCAGGATAATCATATCATGATAATACTACGATGCTATTATAGTAAATATTACAAAAGTCTGTTATATGAAAAGTACAATAAGTACGGATATATAATATTTTGTCCATCTTGTCATATTTATTATTCATTTAGTAATTTAGTAATTTACACCACAGTTTCGATACAGTCCAATTTTATATAAAAACATTGTAAAAAGAAATATAATTTTGATGTGTTCTTCACTACATTTTCTCCGTATGAATATTCTTATGAAATGCGACTGTTTTTAATTCTAGAATATTCAAGTCGGATATTCTGTGAATACATGCAGGATATCATAAGCAGAAGGACTCATATATTCATGATAAAAAAAAGAATGTTCTTAGTGTATTCGTAAAATTTATTTTACGCATACATTTACTGGGCAATGCATTGAACTAACTGAAAAAGAAAGTAGACAAGCCTCTGTATGAGCACACGATCTAACTTTGAACTGAAAACTGAGATCTGCGCGTGAGACTGCTTTCGTGTGTCTTTTAGCCGCAGAACTTCTTCACACACACACACACACACACACACACATACCTGCCTGCGATATTTGATAAAATATTTTAGACACCTTGATATTATATTTATAAAATAGGTCATTCGAATATATTAAGAACGTATTATGAATATTTAATAATTTCCGGTACATTCTATAAATGTTCGTGTCGAATATTTATAAAATATCCCTGGGTTTTCTGAGTTGCGACGCGTACGATCGCTTCTGAATTTTGAGAGATGAACGCTCGATGAGTCTTACAACGTAGTTGCTATCGATCTCGTTTGGATTGATGCTTTGATCTTCCATGTTAAGCTCGAATATTTCGTCCCTCTAATTATTATCTAATAATCATGTGCGCGCAATTATTCATCGTGATGTTATGGACTGCGACTGTTTATCGGCCTTCGTCGTCTCTCCTTCTCTCTCTCTCTCTCTCTCTCTCTCTGTCTTTCCTTCTGCCTCTCTGTCACATGTATTTTATAGTAGCCTATATATATCGTAGAATTAATATTTACACAGGTCTGACCAACGTACGTTTCAGTGTCCAATAATGTACCGCCGCAGTCGAAATTTCCCATCGTCGATCTCGAGAGCGGCACCAGCTACGAGCTCCGTGTGACGGCTTACAACAACGCCGGTTCCACCCAGGCTGAGTACCTGTTCAGCACGCTGTCAACGAACGGGAACAACCGCTTGCACGAGGATCATCCGCAGGAGAGCGAGACCACACCTCTCTATCTCGACGCGCACGTTTTGGCGCCCAGCGTCATCTCGGTACTGGCTGTCATCCTGGCGGTCGCCGGTGTGTGCTTCTGCCTCAAGACGCGTAAGTACCGCCGAGTAAAGCCCGAAGATTGGGTTTTGTCAGTTTTCATCTCGTCGAGCTTCTCCGCACCGAACCCGCCGCGTTCGCGGACTCGGTTTTCCGGACCGATGAAAAAAATCGAGTCGAGTGCCGTTTATTTTCGCGTATTTCACTTTGTACACATTGTAACGATTTCGCGGCGGATTGGAACGATGGGACGTAGTCCCCCGATGTTTTATTTTTCGTCAACTACTCTCGATATCAGGTACAATGTCAACAGCACGGTCCGCACGCGATATTCGCCGCGAGCGTTTGGTTTAATTAAAAACTTCATAAACGAATCACGTAGCCGGCCGTTACTTCAGGTTACCGTCGGCGGCTGGAGGATCCTCTCGCTATGCATAATTTTCACGAAGCACCCGTGCTGAATAAGAATCGCTGAGCGACAGTTCCTTCATGCATTATTTCCAACACTTTTACATCAGCCTGAGGATCCTTCCTTTAGCAGCAAAAATATACCCGCGCGCGCGCTCTGAAAACGATGGAACGATATCTCGGTCAGATATATTCTCTCTCTTTCTCTCTCTTTCTCTCTCTGTAACTATTTCCTTGAATCTCTCGGTGAAGAGAATATATATTCCATATTCGGATAAACTAATAACTCGCGAACGGTATATTTCTCCGAGTCTTTACGAAGTCTTTACGATCGACGCAAAGACATTTTAATTTCTTATCCACGATTATACATAAGGCAACAGATGACGATTATACGCTTCATTTGGAAAACGTCGAGTTTCGCGACAATTAACAAGTCATGAGGCGGTTGCGCGAGTGTGAAGTACCCAAAATCAATAAATCGAGTCTCGATTCCTCCGAGTCGACGACTTTTCAGCGTTTTACGGTGATAACGTTAAGCAAACCGGAGCTCTCCGGGGTAGTACGTCTCGGAAGCGGCGAGAGAGTTCCGCGGACACACGTACATACGTATATATATATATATATATATGTGTGTGTGTGAGTGTAGCGCGGATATAAACTTGCTGCTTCGTTTGCAGGCAGTTCACCCTTCGAAGTTCTCGTCCGAACGTGGCGGCAGTGCCATTGTGTACGTTGTACATAATGATATAAATTAGTTTTGTATACACGATAGCGCGCACGATTATATCACGTTACCCCGGGAGTGATCGTTATATACTTACCCTGAAACGCGCGTCTATCGACGCACGCGACGTTTCTAGATCCGGAGGGATCCAGGGGCGCGAACGATCCGAGCTCGCAAACACAGGCGGCTTTAGACAACAAACACAATATGGAACAGAGGGAACAGTACTACGCCACCGTGAGGAAACCGGGACAGCAGTCACCTTGCCGCGAGGTGAGCGCCCTGGAACGAATACCTGAGTATTCGGAAGATATTTATCCGTATGCCACCTTCAATCTGCCCGAGCAGGAAAATCTTTCGGCGAACCCCATGAGACAGGCGTTCTTCTACGAACGCAGCGAGACGATGCTGCAGGGTGCTCAAGTACGTTTATCTCTCACACAGGGTTTACGGCGTCCCCCGCGCGATCTATCTTGCGATCCTTTTGACACCGCCTTCGCAAACGCTCGACGTCTGAGCCGGGAAAAAGTTTCGCCGGAGACGTTTGTCTAGGTGGCCGTCACGGACCGACCGGGACCGCCGAATAATCGTATTAACGAAGTTGCGACGCGCGACCCCGGAATACCTCCGCCTTTTCGTTTGCATTAATATTTAAATAATTTGCCCGGAAAGTGCGTGAATTATTTGTATTGTGTACAGTCGACGTCACGTACGCTGTATCATTCCTTAAGTCCGAAATTACACCACCCTCAGCCTCACAATTAGAGCCGTTATAATCCTATCATTATAATTTGATCAATTATTTATGCAATTTCCAATCTTACGGGTTATACAGGGCGTTCCGTTATAAGTGGCCGCTTTTTTTATCTCCTAAATTTAAAAAAATATAGATAGATTATAATAAATACATATTAAATTAGATAGCTTTAAATAAACTTCATTGCGAGCATGTTGGTTGCCCATAAGAATTATTTTCAGTCAAAGATTAAAGAGGTATACACATAATTTTTTTACGGTAATACGGATATTTCGATGTAACGAAAAGTATACACATAATTTTTTACGGTAATATGGATATTTCGATGTGATGAAACTGGTAGCTCTGTTTATAATGAATATAACGATGTACAATATAATAACGGAATTATTTTACGAGTTTTGTCGGTGCAAAGTTTTACGAGTGGTTACTATCTTCACCCTTTCGGCTCTGCCGTGTTTAACCGATATCCGGTTCCTGCATTAGCGAATGATATATCTGTTATCTGATCGCGATATTCAGGGCACTTATATATGGAAATGCTACAACTTTTATTACATCAAAATATCCGTATTATCATAAAAAATTATACATACTTTTTTCTTCCCTAACTTAAATAATTTTTATAGACAATCGTCATGCTCACAATAGAGTTCTCTTTTAGTTTAGAAGATAAAAGTGGTGGCCTCTTATAGCAGAACACCTTATATACAAGATGTTTTATAACATGTGGGCATAATTTCAGAAAAGAATTCAGGACACGAGAATAACAGAAAAAGGTCCTATAAACATTTATCTTACCTGACTTCGTTTCCGAGTTACGGACATTTTTGTATTTCATTAATTCTCGTTAGGTTTGTTAACTTTGTTAAGTCGCCTGACTTAAATCCACCGAATTTTCACACGTGGGATCACTTAAAAGCTATGGTTTACAATAAAACGATAGATAACGTTGATGCACTCCGCCAGCGCACTGAAGAACGTTGCCAGCGAATCAGAACAATACCCGGAATATTCGAATTTATAAGAAGATCAATGATAAGACGTTTAGAAGCTTGTCTTTAAGTGTGGTTATTTTGAGCACCTCCTTCAAAAACAGAAACGTACGAAGACGCTACGCTGGCTCAGTTTGTAACGAGAATTAGTGAAATATAAAAACATCTTTTGTTCTTCGTAATTCGAAAACCAGGTCAAATACATCAAATGTTTATCTACCTTCCTTCTTAAGTTATTTTTGTGATGTAAATTCGTTTCTAAAATAATATCTACGTGTCACGAGATGCCCTATATAACGCGAAAAATCGTATCATTTTCCGTTAATGATGCGACATATATACATGATGTATTATTTCAATTAAAATCGTTGGACTATCGGTTATCTGGTTACAATGGAATATATTTGCGAGATAATGTGAATTACCCTAGATGCCAAAAATCGTTTCTACGGAATAATTAAGGAAATATTATTTGACGTGAGCTTCGCGTTATCTCCGAAAATACTTTTATTTATTGATCATCCGATCCGAACAATTGAGATCCATTCGTGACTCTGATTTTTTCTCGTTATTTCACATTAAGGCCACACAATCGGCATTCGGTCGACGTTATGTATGCTGTATGGTCATTTACAAAAAGTTGCAACACTATTTTCGATAAATTTTGGAACGTATTCTGTGTCCAATAGGAAAATTTGGTTCTTAATAATTCTCGGGAGATACATTTTTCTGTTAGATACAAGAATCTAATTGCGGAATTTATCGAAAGAAAGTGTTGCAACCTTTTTTGACTAATCAAACGACACGTACATCCAAAAAATGTTTCCAAGATATCCTTTAGACGTCTTATTGTTTAAAATATGTCTACGATATTTTAATATTATCTGAGATACCGTTTCCCAAATCGAAAATTAGATTTATTTTCAGCCTCACATATATACACGTAAGGTCAAAACTATTATAATTATCTAGTAAAAAATTGTGTGCAAATAACGATCCACTGAAATTTTGTGTTATTTTAACATATGGGAATATGTTGAAAAGTACACAAACATGTGCCAAATTGACATACTTCGTTAACATATTATATTTTAACATATTTACCTTGTTAAAATAACACAAAAATTCAGTGGACCATTATTTACATAAAACCTTTTACCGTGTAAAGCCATTATCTAACTTTATCATTATAATCAGAGTTACGTGTGCGATTTTCAACCTAATGGGTTATGCATCAGTCTGTAATTTTCCGTCGAGGGAATGGCACAGCACACGACGCCGACTGTACATTTTGCAGTCGGCCGAAGCAAGTCCGAAAAGCTTGCTCGACGAGTAACGTTTGCAAGAGTCGCGTGTCTCGAACTTAGCCGGCGTATCGCAAAGAGTCCCACGCGGTGAAATTGATTGCAGTGCGACGTGGACCAGTACACGAAGGTGCGGGGCCGGGCGCGACGCAAGTCGAAGTCATTCAAGTCGGAATCGGAGGAGTATGACACGCTGGGCTCCGACAGCGACACGGAGGTCGGCACCAGCAGTCGCACCGAGTCGTCGAATCATCTGGACGACTCCGGTCCCACGTCGATAATGGCCCGCTCACCGGGGCCGAACTCCGTCAATCAGAGGGAGCAGCGGCTCGCCCTGGTGCAGCGACCGGTTCATCATAGTAAGTTAGTATTCGGTTTTATGTGTCCAGGCCTCTACCGTAACCAAGTGCCACTAACTACTTCCCACGTCAAAACCTCCCCGCGTACACTTTCCAGATGTGCTCTACCACACGCACGAATCAAGTACATCAACCGAGCCGTCACCAATTTCTGAGAGGAAGACCTTCCCGAGGCTCGAAAAGCAAAGGTGAGGCCGTTAATTAGCTCGCGATTGGCGATGACGCGAAGCTCGTTGCTCGTCAACATTTGTAACGTTGCTCTGTGCGAAAAGTCTAATTATACAAGGTGAAGGTGATAACTATCGTCACCTTGAAAATATCTTCGAAGTGTGAGAGTAGGAGAATAGGAAAGTTTATCTGACAGAAATTGTATCGATACCAACGGTCACACTGCTTCGAATACTTTCTGCGGATATGTATGTAAGCTTTTTTCATCTTAATATTATACATGATATTACATGATATTGCTCTTTAATTGGATTAACTGAAGGAAGAAAGAAGGATTAACGGTGTGTTAAGAACCGAAGTACGGATTTTCTGGTGCTATTAAATATTAATATTATCAATATTAATATATCTGCGGAAGGATATAAAGTTTGATCGTATATTGACGCCCCAAGAAAGTGACGGTGATGTCAAAATGACTATAAAACCGAAATGACTATAAATGGCTATAATGAGAAAATGATTATAAAAATTTTTTCTTCGATCATTTTCTCATCATTTTGACGTCATCGTCACTTTCTGTTCTATTCGAGGCATCGGATAATTCTTCGGCTCATACGTACGCGGAGAGAATAAGCTTTCACGTGAATCCTTTATTCCTCGAATAATATAATTTTCCATTTACCAATCCCAGGATTTTAATTTTAAATTGTGTTGCGAAAAATACTGCCTCGGCCAGGAATTTAGCCTAAATCTACCAACTAACTCGGCGGAACATTATATTAAATCGGGCCACCGAGCTTCGACAGTATTCATCGCAACACTTAATGTTTGTAAATTCGTGCGACGGATATATGAGACAAAGTAAGCATATTCTTCCACCTATACATAAAATATTATACAGGGTATATAGCACAAAGAGGACACCTAAATATCTTGGGAGCTTAAGGCTCCGGAATAGTCTTATTTCACTTACCTTTTACGGTATTTATTGTCCGTCAAGAGGGAAAAGGAGGAGGTTTTCATCCATTTTCACAAGTGTCTTCAAGCGATCTCGATAAGTATTATTTTATCCCAAATCAAGTATCTCTTTGCAAGTGGCGCGCAATATTTCTCAACGCGTCATTTCTCACCTATAACCGCACGGATCCAACATAGTCGCGACGACTACTCCGGAGTTTTAAATACGAGGATCTTATTTGGGAAATCGTAAAAAATGACCGTGAAAAAATTCTCCTCCACGAAACCATCCCTCCTTCGAAACCGCTCAAATTGTGCTCTGAACATGTTAAAAACAAAGGAAATATTTGGGTGTTATCTTTATTCTGCGACATCCTGTATATAAGATAGCTTTTTTATTTAGTTTAACCAAAGAAAGAAAGAAGGATCAACGGATTTTTTTCATTCTCATCTAGTCGTAGTAAAATATTTTTATTTCTTCGAAGATTATTGGCCTCACTCTGTATAAGTAATAAACATACGCGAGCAGAGTCTATCAAGATGGCAAAATCGATTGCAGTATCGCGTGTCAGATTCATTTCTCGATGTCAATTCGTTCGGACGAGCTTTACTGCATTCGAGCGAGCTTTTTCCCTCAATTCACCATCAACTCGGTCTCGGCAGGAGTCGCGGCGTGATACCAGACATCGCGATCGACGGTCGCATTCCCGGCATACTGCGGCCGGTGCTCAAGTTGTCGGAGTCCGGGATGCATTCGTACTCGCGAGGGGCCTCGCCGAGTCACCCGGTGCGTCCTGGTTCCTACGACAGGCTGGAGAAAGAGACGTCGAGCAGCAGGAAGTCCGTCGAGTCGCTGTGCCTCCTGGAGGAGCCGGCGGGCACGTTCAGAATGATGAGGAGGGACGACGATTGGGGCAGCGAACTGTCTACGTTGGAATTGAAGCCACCGAGCGGTTTCACGGACGTTCACGAGACCAGTGAGGCCGAGTGCGACATCGACATGAAGCTGAAGCTGCAGAGGAAGCGGACCGGCCTCCACTCGAACAACTCGCTCTCCAAATCGCCCAAAGACTTCACTATCACCGTCTAAGTGTGTTAATCAAATATCGAAACAAAAAAAAACCAAGAGAAATCGAAAAAGAAAAAGCAAAAATGAACAAAAAAAAAAAGAACGGAAAACGAGATTTCCAGTAAAGCAAAGCAAGCCAAAGCATGAGTGTTATTAAGTCAAGTAAGTTATCCGATTTTTCGCCATCGAGAATTCTCGCGATCGCCAACACCGCTCTACGGATAAGATCTCTGGATATTTGTCTGTCGGGGCGACTATTGTCAAAGAGTTCGTTTACAAATAAAGACTTATTTTTGTAAAAAAAAAAAGAAAAAGAAAAGGGAAAGAAAGAAGGAAAGGAAAAAAAATAGAGAAAGAGAGAATGATAAAAATTAGCCGCATCCCCTCACCCGTTCCCATTCGATTCCGTCTTTATGAATTCATCGCGAACGATAATGCACGGCGCATTTACCTACCTTCGAATCTTGCATCGACGAGCACGAAGTTAGACAGTTAGCTGCACAGTTTCGTCGAGTAACGAGCGACCGATGACGATCGCTCGTTAACGCTTCATCCTCATTTCGCATCTCGCGTGACTGAGCGTAGACAATACAAACAAAACAAGAACCGCACGCAGCTTGAAGTAAGAAGTGTATTACTACATATAGTCATGGCCATCGGTCGCAACAATCATTGCTTCGGGAGAGGGGCGCTAGTTCTACTTCTTCTCTAGCTAGGTGAGACGCCTACACGTTGACAATAAAAAAGACACACTTCTCGTCGTGACAATAATAGTCTTGGCGCGTTTCGTGCTACGTCGTACGTAGAAAAGAGATCCACTCACGATTACTCCGTAGTAGATCACTAGATTTCACTGGAGAATCGTTTCCCTGTGCAGAGACGTGAGAATATATCTTCGAACGTGAATACCTTCGGTGTATCGCCGTGTAAGAGCGTGCGCCAGCTTTCGTGCGAAGAGACGTGCGAACTCCCGTCGATGCCAACCGGTGACTCCCCCCGTTCACTTTGAGGAAAAAGGAGCGATAATTACGAAGTCGGATAATTATCGAGAGGCTCACAACGACGATGGTGACAACGGGACGCTTAACAACGAGTACAACGCAGCAGAGATCGCGGACTAAGGACGTGTTATTCATATAACTCAAAATGATGAAAAAATTATGAAGAAATTACAAATTGATCTGCATTGCATTTAAAAGTGTCGCGAAAAGTTTGACAGTAATTCAGAGCCTGAGAATCAAAAGTTACTTCACTTTAAAGGAGGCTGTAAGGTGAAATAAGTTTGGCAAGAATTCGATGAAAATTGCGTATGCGTTGAAATATTATCTAATTCATTGCTCGGGCGATTAGAAGAAGATTGACCATTCGAGAGCTGAGATATTTGTAACTAAAGTTGGCCCTTTTTATACGTGTTTCCTCAGAGATTGGCGTGCTACTTTTAATTTCTATTTTTAATATTTTCTAAACTAAAAGTAAGATTTTAATTAAAAAACTACTATGGTGTTAAAGACTAATGTGCAGACATATTACAATACTACAAATTTCAGAATTATTAACCATTTTGTTTTAAAAAGCGGTGTAAAGTTCATAACTTATAGTAATACTGGAAATACATATACACATGCACATGTTTAAACACTTATATACCTTTTTCTATTATCTATGCATCTGTAGATCATATTAGATCAAATAATACATAGAAATAGCATTAATAAGAAAAACAAAAAGTAATATTTTCATATTTATAATATTCTCTACATCTATCTCTCAATTTCATTTCAAATTAATATTTATAATTTAAGTAGTGAAATATATAAATGTATAAGAACGAAACTTTGCTAAGTACTAAATTTACGAGCGGCCTCTTTGAGCGGCCTCTTTGAGCGGCCATTAAAAACACGACACTGAGCCTTACAACCTCCTTAACATCAATTGGTCAGTTGTCATTGCGTTTCTTTCTCTCTTCCTCTCTCGTATCAATCAGCAATCGGGATGGCAGACGTTTCTTCCGCGAAAGTCTATGTCTGGTGACACGCTGGTGAGTAAAACTCGACTGATTTCGACCAGTTGCAAATTTCTCGCAAACTATTTATTAGACGTATATGTTCTTAAGCACGGACAGAGTTTTTCGAATAAAGCGTACAGTTAAAAAAACGAGTGTAATACTATCGCACATAATGACTGGTACCGCAATCATTATATATATATATATATATCTGCTTCTTCCATTTTTTTTCTTTTTTTAAATCTCTCTAAAATCTCTCTGTGCTTTTTCTTCGTTAAGACGCGTACTGTATTTCGAGTAGTGGAAATCGACGAGAACCGCATTTTTTAGACCCGCCTGACGCGCGCGCACGCGCGTCGTGTGTTATTTTAACCGCTTAGTGCGATTTATTACAATTAATAGCGAGTCGCGCCGACGAGGAGGACGACTCGCGTGGCGCGATAGGAACAGAGAAACGTAATTCCTTTTTTGATTTGCTTCCCCCGTTTTTCCTTCTTTTTTGAATCCTCGCTGGTGCGCTTTGCCACTCGCGGTGCGTCACGCGGCTCGTCCTTCCGGCGCGAGTCGGACTCTTTTTCATCCTCGCGATCGATGGTTAGAATTGATCTGTTAAAAACTCTATCGAAGGCAGTGCGGTCGCTATACGCTCGAAGATTAACTCTTTCGCTATCGATGCGCTGATCGACCGGAGCCTTGTCGATAACCGACTGTCCTGTACTTCTATTCTGTAACCTTTAACGACAATGTTGCTACGATTTCTGGTAAACAATTTTTCACACATACAATCATGTATAATCATGTATGATCATATATAATCATATATAACCATATAAAATTATATAGAAAATTATATGTATAATTCCTTGTATGATTATATATATAATTTTACACGACTCTACCAGGGGAAAAAAATGATTATATATGAATTTTGTCTATAATTGAAGTAAATGTTTATGCTTATGGCTGTCCACGATGTAAACATTTAATTGAATCAAACCATTTTCTCCAATTTTTCATCCAACAGTATTTTTATTTCATGTGGACATATATAATTATATATAATTTCTTATAATATAATTATATATAGAAGCCATATAGAAGCAAAATTTATATATAAAAAAATCACATATAATTATATATAATTTTATATGATTATATATAAACGTTACTTTCCCGGGTGTACATAATTATAACAAATATGATGCTGTCTGATTCTTTTACGCGAGTCATATAAAATTATGTATAATCATATAAATAATTATTATATGTTATTATATAGTAATTAATTTTATACATTTCTATATGATTTTATATGGTTATATGTGATTATTATTACACATATGAGAAATTTTTTACCGGGTTACATTGTCGATGCGCAGCTTTTTTCTCACCGTATGTTATACCTGCGTGATGACGCAACGACGCTGTCGTTAAAAGTTACAAAATGGATCTACGGGACCGACGTATCCGCGTGTCATTTTCTCATTTCCCAGATAATCACGTACCGACGCTTTTTTTCTCGCTCTTGTACAAAAACGGAACGTACATCTCCTCAAGACTAATCGTCTCGAATACCGGAACACCCGATAATTTTCGTTCTTAACACGTCGCCACGTGCGGACAGAAAGACTCGAATATTTAAGTCCACCTTTGAACTCCGAGAACTTCGACATCCATCCGTTTTCGGCTGCCGAGACGCGTCGGAAACAGCATAGAGTTGAAGGAGAAAAAAAAGAAAAGGAAAGAACACTGTGCGCATCACCCCGAAGTCTCCCATCTCGCTCGCACACATAGCGAAAGAGTTAACGAGGAAAATGATAAGAGAAAGGAAGGAATGTTCGTAGGTACGTTTGTCTGGCAGTCTCGACTGTTTTACGTATGTAATTGCGTATTCCTCTCACCGTGTTCGTCGATTAATAAAGGGTATGGCGCGGATTCGTGTGATACCCGTTGTCTCTCGCAGGTTGTCTCCCTCCTAAACTTCTCTACTACACCCCCCTTCCCCTCCTCGAATCGCTACGAATCGCTCTCTCGTCTCGCCGGCTGGTCTCCGATGAGCCCAGCTTGTGCCTGTCGATCGTGGATCGTTAGTTACACACGTGAGACATCGTGTGAGTATACATGTATAAGATAGCTTCTTTTCTTCATTTCTTCTTTCACTCTTGTTTCTTTTCTCATTTTTTTTTTTTGTTACATTAGTTAACCGTAGGCCGTATAAGTGCGTACGCTCGAATGAAAGTCTCCCTTATGCGACACACGTGCTGCGACAAAGTCGTCAAGTAAATTGCGGCGGCGTCCTATGTAATACGAGACAATCGAACGTGCTTGAGTACAATTCTCGCGCTTCACCTTCTTTTTTTTTTTCTTCGACTATTTTTCTTTTCGTCTATTGAGAAGTCTCGATGTGTTCGACGTGTCCCGACATATTCGACATATACAACTTCTGCATATTTTTGTTTTTTCCTTACAACACATCCACTTATTAATCGTCGGATCACCTTATCGTAAGTAACAGACTTCGATCGCCGGCTGCGCCAACACGACGATCGGGCGATTCCCGTTCTCTCTCGATTACGCTCGCTTAATAAAATACACATATGCACATACGTACGTATATATATTATCACATAAAAAACCAACTCGGAACGACCGTTCGCTTTTCGCCGTATGGTCCACGCGAATACCGGTTACAATCGCAGTCTTCGTTATATACCGAGAGCGGAGAAGAAAAAGAAGAAGAGGAGGAAGAAAGGAGAAAAGAGGAAGAGAGAGAGAGAGAGAAAGAAGGAAGGTAAAACAAGAAAATCCGCGGGACGTCGGCAGTCCGATTGTTCCTCGCTTCCGTTTATCTAATCGAGCGACGGTTCGGCGTTTTCACTCGCGATTTAATAACGGCGAGCCGTTCCCGTTCTCTCGCCGGGGGGAGAGGCTCGCCTCGAAATACGTTTAATGAGAAGTGGAAAAAGAGAGGAGAGAAAGAAAAATCGCCCCTCCCCTCCTCTCTTTCGGCAACAGCCGTCCGTGTGGACGAACGACGGAAAATGCAGTCACGCGTCAACATCTTTCTTTCATTCCTTTTTCATGAATCGCGCGCTGGCGCGCGCATGTGTAGACGACGAGAGAGAAAAAGTAGAAAAATGCAGAAATGAAAACGAGAACCGGGAGAATGCTAGAGATGCGAACTAACGCGATGTGTGCTTCTTTTCGTGTGTTTGCATGTGTGTGTGTGTGTGTATGTGTGTGTATACGCGCATGTGTACGAGAGTGTGTGTGTGTGTGTGTATGTAAGAGTGTGCGCGTTATCTTACAAATATTATGTTGACTAGAATCTACGTTATCTATACACACCACCTATTTTATCATTCGAATTATATGCGGGCGGTCGCGTCGCCGATGACCCCTTTATCGCGGTCACTCATACCTCATTAGACGTCTATTTTTTCTTTTGCTTTTTTTCTTTTCTTGTTTATCCACGTAGGTACATACATATAGTCGTGTAATATCGTAAAATACAGTACAGATTCCGCGTGAGAGACGTGCGCGACGAGGTATCGCTGGCCGCCGCTCCTGTGTACAGACTCTCCCTCCCC